TTAAGCAAAATCTGCCATGCAGTTTAAGAGGAGTTGCGTTCACAAAATTTCTACATAGTATCTAGTGAAAAAATCAACAAAGGGCCATAATTCTGTTAAATTTGGTCGCAGCGAAAATTCCTTCCTTTACTACCATCTTCACATTAAGGTTGTTCATCCCTGTAAGTTTAAGCAAAATCTGCCATCCGGTTTAAGAGGAGTTGCGTTCACAAGATTTCGGGACGTACGGACGGACTGACGGACGGACGGACGGACAAGTGCAACGCTATATGCTCCCACATTGTGGGGGCATAAAAAGTCTAAGTTCAAAAGGGGCATAATTCTGGAAATAGTCTTGCTAGAGTATTGAACACTCACAAATGTTGATAATGTGATAATAAGAAACATTTATATGAAATTGAAGTAGATACGTTCAGAAAAAAAGAAGTTATTAAAAAAACAATGTTTTTTTTCATGAAAATTTTAAGTTCAAGGGAGGTAATTCTGATAAATTTTGTGCTAGAGTTTGTTAAACTTTGTCACATATTGATGTGGTTGATGACTAGCAACTTATTTTTAAAGTTTGAAGAAAAATACCTTAAGAAATAAAGAACTTATAGTGAAAAAACTTAAAAAACTAGAAATCAGAAATCTTGAAAATTCAGTCTATTTGTTGCCATAAGCAACCAGAATTTTCAACACAGGAAGATAAGAAAAGGATGTGCATAATTTCCATACTGCCATCTACCCATATGTCAAGTTTCAATAAAAATATTTTCAATACTTTTTGCGTTATCACTGGATCCAGGTTATGTGTAAAATCTGCCATATTTTCAGTCTATTTGTTGCCATATAGCAACCAGAATTTTCAGCATAGGAAAAAAAGAAAAAAGACGTGCATAATCTCCATACTGCCATCTATCCATATATCAAGTTTCATAAAAAAAATTTCAGTACTTTTTGCGTTATCGCGGGGGATCCAGGTTATGTGTAAAATTTGCCATATTTTCAGTCTATTTGTTGCCATAGCAACCAGAATTTTCAACATAGGAAGAAAAGAAAAAGACCTGCATAATCTCCATACTGCCATCTATCCTTATACCAAGTTTCATTAAAATATTTTCACTACTTTTTGTGTTATCGCGGGATCCAGTTTTGTGGACGGACGGACTGACGGACGGACAGACGGACGGACGGACAGGCGGACGGAGGGTAAACCTAAAGTCCCCTCCAGTAGACCGGTAGGGGACTAATAAATCACTTTACTCATGTACAAAGGTAACACTTAATGAATCCGGAAATTTATATGCTGTATTGAAATACATATTTTTAGGTATTTTATCATTTTTAAATATGTTGTCAAGAATTTTGCATCCCTATTCACCCAACACAATAAATGATATTGGTCTGAAATGACAGTTAAACTTTTTTGCAAGGGTGCAGTTACCTCTACAGTACTATTACCATGAACAAGCACAATCAAACTGAGCCTGCAAAATTTTCAATTTATACCATTTTGGGCATTAATTAGGGACTCTTTTTTTTATATTCTCTCCAATACTATAATTAACAAGCAATTATCATAGTATTGCAAGCAATCCATAAGTCCCCTACCGGCGTAAGAGCCCAAGCAACATTCTGAAGGGCCATGGCCATTCACTTAGCGTTCCTATTTTAAAGTAAATTTGTTGAAAAGTTCTTTAAAAGTGATCACAGGGAAACAGTTTTTTATGTACAAGACAGACGTTACTGAAGGACACTCTAAAGTTATTTTTTTAACATCCCTGTTATCAAAATATAACATTTTTAAAATCCTATCATGATTGAAGAAGTTGGAGTAAAAGGGGCATAATTCTGGAAATAGTCTTGCTAGAGTATTGAACACTCACAAATGTTGAGTGACACTAACAAACATTTATATGAAGTTTGAAGTAGATACATTCAGAAAAAGAAGTTATTAAAAGAAACAATGTTTTTTCATGAAAATTTTAAGTTCAAGGGAGGTAATTCTGATAAATTTTGTGCTAAGTTGTGAACCTTGTCACATATGATGTGGTTGATTTTGACAAGCAACTTATATTTAAAGTTTGAAGAAAATACCTTAAGAAATAAAGAACTTCTAGTGAAAAAACTTAAAAACTAGAATCAGAAATCTTGAAATTCAGTCTATTTGTTGCCATAGCAACCAGAATTTTCAACATAGGAAGATAATAAAGGATGTTGCATAATTTCCATACTGCCATCTACCCATATGTCAAGTTTCATAAACATATTTTCAGTACTTTTTGTGTTATCACTGGATCCAGGTTATGTGTAAAATTTGCCATATTTTCAGTCTATTTGTTGCCATAGCAACCAGAATTTTCAACATAGGAAGAGAAAGAAAAAGAAACGTGCATAATCTCCATACTGCCATCTATCCATATATCAAGTTTCATAAAAATATTTTCAATACTTTTTGCGGTTATCGCGGGATCCAGGTTATGTGTAAAATTTGCCATATTTTCAGTCTATTTGTTGCCATAGCAACCAGAATTTTCAACATAGGAAGAAAAGAAAAAGACGTGCATAATCTCCATACTGCCATCTATCCATATATCAAGTTTCATTAAAATATTTTCAGTACTTTTTGCGTTATCGCGGGATCCAGTTTTGTGGACGGACGGACTGACGGACGGACGGATGGACAGACGGACGGAGGGTAAACCTAAAGTCCCCTCCGGTAAACCGGTAGGGGTCTAATAACTTAGATAACAACTTTTTAACATACTGAATACACATTTACCGCAAAACCAAGGTGATTTAAGTGACCGTGAATTTTCAAAGTAAAATATGGGCTGGTCTGGACAGCAAGATTTGCCAGAAGCAGTGAACATTTGTGTCTGCTTTGGTCATATTCTATAATGCAAACTTTATAATACAAAATTTACAATAATTTGTGTATACACAGGAAATGAACAGATCTACAATCACCAAGTAGGTCAAACATTTCAAGGATGTGTGATACACAGTGTTTCACAATAATCCTAGTTAGCCTTTACTTATGCTTTACTTATGCCAATGTTGTAATGTCCATGAAGTATTACATTGATCAAGGCCATTACTGCACTATCCATAATATTAGCGCTATCCTTAATATTATCGCTTAAGCTACCAGAATCACTGATGAAACAGTTTGGTAGACATTGCGTGATAAACACAGTATGAATTACTAAGCAAGTGGTGATCCAATCTGATCCACAATTCCTACCTGACAATTCAATAATTTAACCACAAATAACAGACTTAACTAACAAATAACAAAATTTAATGTTATAATATTAAAAGAAATCACAATGTTCTTGAAAAAACAATTTATATGAAAAATAAAAATGATTACCAAGAATGATCATTACTTAGTTCTTTTAGAAATAGATTTAAAGTTTACCTTCTAACTTTCAGCTGAAACGGTTATTAAATGCCTGTTCTTTTAAATTTCACATATTATCATCTAGTGGCATTTTCATATTACCACTATTCTAACTTGATCTGTATTGTATAATACCAGACGATTAAGAAAAGGGTAAATGTATGTGAAATGTAATAACGCAAGTTGAACAGTAAAATAAATGTTTTTATTTTTTTCAAGTTACATAAAATGACTTGATATTGGGGTATTCTATAGAGTAAAACAAAATTTTTTCAAATACTTGTGACAAAAATTGAAACATTGATTCAATGAAACAAGCAACTAGTTAGTAATTAGCTCTGCTTTTGCCCAATTAGGCACACATGAACAATTAATCGCATTGATCATTGTGACAGGGTAGTATGCAGTGTTAACAAAAGAAAAATAAGCAAAGTCTTTAAAGTATCTAGATAAATTGTTATAACATGATTTTACGAAAATCTATCTATGCATATATGTAGAATAATGAACAAATATATTATTTACACACTATTTTATGTTTCACTAAAAATAATCAATTAGCCCATGTGACATTTGGACATTTCTGTAAATATCATAAGGAATGTATTGGAAATGTTCAATATGGTTAAAGAGTGAGGCAGTTGTTTTATATGGGAAGTCAAAGGCAAGCCAAGTCCCGGGACAGCTCTTGGCTTGCTGGCTCTAGACTACATGGCTTGTATATTTAAAAGGAAATCAAATAAAAAACATTTAAAAAGATATAGATTTCTATACCTATCAGAGAAATTTTCAGTGTCATTTCAAGTTGTGTGCTGCCATTTTCATTGTAACTCAATGATAATAGGCGGGGTATTCTGATAATTGAACAATGGCAACTTTTCAGCTTAATAATAATCGTTGAAGTGTTCCAAGTGAAAGCATGAAATACTGAATGACATCTTTAAAACAGAAAAATGATTGATTTTCATAACCGATTTCCCTGTTCATGGGCTATGCCTAATTTCATATTAATTTAGGTTATTTTTGTATTTTATCCTTAACTTTTTTCATGATCTATTATTGGTCAATCTCCAGTGTAAACTACAACTGTTGATCTCTTGAAATATATTACTTACACATCTCAACTTGACAGCCAAAAAAGAACATAATGTAACTTTTAGGTTTGATCTGCTATCAATCAGACATAAGACAGTTGCTACTGTCTCTAGTTGCTTGTCCAAGAATGAACGTTACAATACAAATAGTGATGACAGATCTAGCTGATAGTGATAATTAAGTTAACTCCATACGTTCTCAATACAGCAATAGCCTTCCAACATACTTAGAGTAACATAAATCAAACATTTTTATAACCAACCTGTTTGGGAATGCATAGAAGTTTTAGGATCAAATATTATCAAAATAAATTATTTCATGGAAAGTCATGCTTTCTTTCATCATTCAATTAATAATTCACTTCCGGTCTAAGTTTTTAGGATTTTTTTCAATCAAGAAGCTCTGCCATCATTCGTTATTGTTTTATATCAAACAATTTCAGTACAAAGACCAATACGATATTGATTTCTTTCAAAAAATTCAATTATTTAGGTGTAAAATCAACCAAAAGCTGTACCGGCTACCTGTTGCAGTTTCTCAGTCGGCCATTTGCAATTTCCCAGAATGCATTTACCCGCCATCTGTCAGACTCAGCGTCCGCAACAAACATACCATAGAATTTTGAGGAAATAAGCGTCAACGTAAACATGTCATTTGAAATGGTATATGAAGATCTTACTATATACTTAATATTGATACCCTTTCCTCAAATATCTGTACGAAAATCAATGATTATCTACGTTAGCCATCAAAAAATGATTCGTACCTAAAATTCTCGTACCAACAAAATGATGCATTGTCACAATTGTTATACCTGTATGGTGCATTATTAAGGTGTGGTCTTAAATAAATAGACAGTTCAGAGCTTATCTCCGTTTACAGCACATTGTTTAAACTCATTATTAAACAGTAGGGCCCCTGGTGATAGGGTGAAAATGCCCTGCAACCAAACTTATTTTCTAAGCATGTTTGGCTTGTGAGTCACTGGTAATACATTCTTTGACATGAGTAGGCATGAGTATTTGATATGGACTCAAGAGCATGCTCCTGACAATATTTCTTATTATTTAACTATAATGTCTGTAAAAATAAGTGACCATTTGCTAATTTTCACACAATTAACTTTCATACAACACATTACTTTTATAGTGTAAAAATATTCATTTTGTTAATTTTCATTCTTTCTATATTTGGCATTCATAGAAAGACCCAAAAAAGTACCTAAACTTCATATTGAGCCATTCAAAGAAATCTTTTTATACTTTTAGAGATAAGCCAGTTATTTGTTTTGGTTGGGTTTTACGTCACACCAACACAGTAGAGTTCATATGGTGACTTTCCAGCTTACTGGTGGAGGAAGGCCGCAGGTGACCCTCTATGCATTTTTTCAGGCTCGAACGAGTACCTGACTAGAACTTACAATGTTCTGTAAGCTAGCTGGATAGCTTTAGCTTCCTAACAGGAGTCCAAAGTTCCTGTCAGGATTCAAACCCAAAGCGGTGAAGAGCAAAAGCCATTTAATAAAGCATCAGAAGACAAGCAAAAAATGTATGTACATTTGGCTCAATTAACCTTTAAACTGTGATATGGCAGTTAAATAAATAAACAAACAGGTGGGAAGATCAAATTTCCACCAAACATTAGAAAAAGTATTTTAAGCTGTGATACTGAGGTCCTTAGGCCTTAAAGATAAAAACTTAAAATCTTACATTGTAGATCAACTGGAAAAGTGTAAAAAAAATAATGAAATATACATGTACTCTGAATTGAATTAAAAAGCAATTGTTTATCCCTATTTGAGTTAAAAATTCACTTTTTATATGCCCGAAAGGGCATATTATGTTATACCCCCTGGCGTCTGTCCGTCCGTCCGTCCGTTAGCAATTTGGTTTCCGGAGCATAACTTAAGTTCCATTTGGCCCACAATGTTCAAACTTCATAGGATGATTGTCCATATTAGGTAGAAGACCCCTATTGATTTTGGGGTCAAAGGTCAAGGTCACTATTACCTTAAAATTGAAAACAGTTCCGTCCGTTAGCAATTTGGTTTCCGGAGCATAACTTAAGTTCCATTTAGCCCACAATGTTCAAACTTCATAGGATGATTGTCCATATTGGGTAGAAGACCCCTATTGATTTTGGGGTCACAAGGTCAAAGGTCAAGGTCACTATTACCTTGATAATGAAAACAGTTCCGGAGCATAACTTAAGTTCCATTTGGCCCACAATATTGAAACTTCATAGGATGATTGTCCATATTGGGTAGAAGATCCCTTTTGATTTTGGGGTCGAAAGGTCAAAGGTCAAGGTCGCTATTACCTTAAAATTGAAAACAGTTTCTGGAGCATAACTTAAGTTCCATTTGACCCACAATATTCAAACTTCATAGAATGATTGTCCATATATGGTAGGAGACCCCTATGATTTTGGGGTCACAAGGTCAAAGGTCAAGGTCACTATTACCTTAATACTGAAAACAGCTTCCGAAGCATAACTTAAGTTCCATTTGGCCCACAATATTCAAACTTCATAGGATGATTGTCCATATTGGGCTAAAGACCCCTATTGATTTTGGGGTAACTAGGTCAAAGGTCAAGGACACAATTACCTTAAAACCAAAAACAGTTTCCGGAGCATAACTTAAGTTCCATTTTGCCCCACTATATTCAAACTTCATAGGTAGATTGTCCATATTGGGTAGAAGACCCCTATTGATTTGGGGTCACAAGGTAAAAGTCACTTTTACCTTGATACAGAAAATAGTTTCTAGAGCATAACTTAAGTTCCATTTGGCCCACAATATTCAAACTTCATAGTATGATTGTCCATATTGGAGAGAAGACCCCTATCAATTTTGGGTCACAAGGTCAAAGGTTAAGGTCATTTATAACTTAAGTATTACTCAACCTACAGCTGTAAAATTTTATAGGATGAACAACTAATTCTCATGTCTTACAAATGCTTCATCCTTACTAAAAAAAAAACACTTTCGGGCATATAATGCTCCGCCTAGCGGTGCTCTTGTTGGTAAATGATAGAAATGGAAAATTTGAGTGAGTGAATGATCGTAATTTTGCACAAGTTATTGATAAAGACCTACATAAATGGTGTGAAAATTTGTCTGAAAAATAAAAATTCCACTCCTTTCATGTAAAAAATAAATAAATGTCAAGTTCCTTTAACTTTTGCAGAAAAAAATCATGAAAAGCAATACGACAAGGGTGTTTCTTTTTAACAACATGCCATAAAGAAACAAGAAAAGAATTCTGCATCAAAAAGGACCAAACTCGCTCAAAATTTCAAGTAATATATGTTCTTTTGTTTAAAGCAAATGCAAAATATAAAATGGGGCCAATATAAAGTCCCATTCCCAATTTAAAATAACCTCTTTTTTTCCAGTATCAAAACCAACTGCTGATAAATAAATCAATTTTTTGAACTTTTGAGGAAGACTGAACTGTTAAGATATTTTTCTGCAAAGTTGTGACAGATTATATGATCATATCATATATATATAAATATATATATATGAATGAACTTGAAATCCATGCATAAGGTTTTAAATTTAACCTTTTTAAATTTTTCATAATTTTTCCTTTTAAGCCAAAGGCCTTTTTCCAACGTACCTGAATAAGGCCCAGGGTTGGCAATATCTGCTAGCCCTACTTGATATTTACAAGCCAAATGGTAAACTTTGAAAGTGGAATGTTAAATTTAAAATAAAGACTTAAACAGTTATTCCTTATTAGGGGATGTTTTTGGAGGATAAATAAGTTGTTCCTTTTGAAATTCCATCATTTAATTTTCAGACCCTAAGGTGATTGACTTCTAATTTTTCACAGACCAGACAGGCTTGTTACTTTAAAAGAAATACAGGCTGAAGCATATTAGTATCATTGATTAAGTGAATTACTGAATTTAAAATTTATAGGTCACCTTTTGTACGGACATAAATGGTGACATGTCCGGTGTCCATACTCTAAGTGCCTGAAAGGCTGATGGACTCATTAAAAAACAAGAATAAAGATCAACAAGACAACGTTCACAGGACACAGCCCCCCCCCCCCCCCCCCCCCAACGACACACCCAAGTAGGGCACCCAGATGCACCAAACCAAAACCGGGAGTGGACACAATGGGGGGAAAAACCTAGAATACATACATATGGGTTCTGTACAATTGCACTGCAAAGCAAATTGGAGTTTAAGTAAACATTTATTGTTTGTTTTATTGAAGGTTAACATATATAAATAGGTCATTCTTTTTTTTTTGTGAAATTTGGAATATATTTTCACTAAAACATGAGTAAATTCAATATATTTCACTCACTGTTCTGGCTTGTAAAATATATGGAACTTTCTCGTGTTTTGTTAAAATTTATTCCATACATATGTATTTTACTTGAACAAAACAAATCCTCTTAATATACATTTAAGATATTTAAAGTATGATTTAATTCTATAAATATTCATAGTGTTTGGATTTTAAGACAGCTTTTATTTGCTTTATTATTTTTTTGTTTTTTGGTGATTTTCATTTGCTGGTCCCCAATTAATGAAATGATGTAATGAATTCAGAATTGGAATATTGTTTTGAAAAAGATAATGATCAATTAGAAAAATATATTCTATGGATGATGGATGTGAGAATAAATACAATTATATTTGCAAACAAATCCCATATATATATTAGGATATATCTTGGGCAAAAGGGCACTTCTATAATTGCCTTAATGGGCAAAGATTTTAATGTGGTTTGTTAAATGAGACAGCACTAATCAAATAACCTGTTTAGTCTAGGCATTAATGAAATTGTAGAAATTACTCCCTCTTGAAAAGCGCCCTCTTTGAAAGAAACATATCTTTCTGATCTCTTTAAAAAAAAACAGAGATGGAAATAAAATCTATCTCAATTTTGTCTTACTATTTAGATCGTCTTGTTGAATAATTTTCGAAGTACATACTGGTAATTTACATATTGGATACTAAAAAAAACCCAGAAATTTGAAAAATTTTAAAGGAAAAAAAAAAGAATTGAAAAATTGCAGACTGTGAGTTTGATGTCACATTTCAAGGCTTGGCAATTGATAGTAATTAATTGCAGTGTAAAACATACCTTGTTAACAATTGTATTGTGCAAAAACTGCCGACAATGAGAAATTCGAAATTGGTACAATTGTGTCATTAACAGATTTTAAGGTAGGGTGAAAATGAAGAAAAAAAAGTTCCTAAGCTTTTCTATTTTTCACAGGGCAACAAGTGGCTAAGATGTAACTTTCTCACGCATTTTATTAGGAGTCCGTTCTTGGTATTTCTATTTTGTTCATGTCACTTGCTAATCATATGCAAATTATGGACATCTCAGAGGCCGGATGAACAATATCGTCGCTCCAGTAAATACTTGCATGCCTCGAGATTTAATTAGTACGCACATAATTGCTATGTGTCAGCGGCTTTTCATTAATCCTCTTGGGCAATTCGTTCTTAGAATCTGAAGAATAACAAGACTGAATTATATTTTAGGGACAAGAGCAGTATTGTAATGATTCTAATTGGGCTGAGATTTCCCTCAATCCCCCACATTTTCCATGCATCGCATATGATTTTCAAGAAACAACATTTAAAAAATATACAGAGTTTTCATCAAATTGATGTGTTATTTTACAAAACATTTTAAGCTATTTATTGAAAGTATGTATAGAGGGGGGACTTGAACCTGGAACCATTGAGTACCGTTGGCTCCCCCAACTGAGCTATCCCGCCACTTACAGATCTTCTCCCCCCTAATTAGTGAGCAGTTCTGAATTGACGCACTCCCCCACTTTACTTAATTTTGTCCTCAAATCCTTTGTAAAATCTTGTAGACCACACTGTTACATTCCCTCGTAACTTATTTTACTTACCTCCTGGCTGGAACTTGTATGCCTCTGTCCCCTCCTTTTCCTCCACCCCCTTCCCCCCCCCCCATTTATCCTGTAACTTTTTGTATACAATCTTTAACAGTCATATTTTTTGGCAAATATGTTTGATATTAAAATGAATTTTTAACTATTACAAAATCTGTATAGCACAACAAAGACCAAAAAGGTTTGCTCTCTTTCAAAGGTCAAATTTTTCTACACTGCGTCTAAATTAGGCTTGTCAAATATGTCTGCAAGAACCAAAGTGCCAAGCTGTAGTTATAAATTAAAGAAAGTTTCTGAAATCCATGTAAGTGAATTTGTAATCGGAGGAAAAGTGGCTTGTGTGAAAAAAGACTTGGAACAGATCCATTTAAAGACAAAATATCAGTTGCAATTAGAAATTTCAGACTAAGGTAAGGGGTATTAGCAAGAGAGTCGAGGTGTTTTTCTTTTTTCAAGGTGCCAACTGTTTAATTTGTCTTGCCTAATTCTGGCTAAAGGTCACATTATCCTACCAAAAGAGTTGGTTTATTAAGATCTCTGTGTAAACAGTTTGTTTTGCAGTTGTTTTATTTTCCTCTTTGTCTTTGTACTTTCTGATTACTTATGTTATCACCATGTAAAATTGAATATAAAGTTAATTAAAATGTCTAAAAAAGTACAATGTAATATGATTGTAAATAAAGTTAGGCTTTTTTAAATACCTCAGTTTGATTAAATGATTGCAGAATGGAATTAACTCAGCACAATCCAATGTCTCCTTAGAAATATATGTGTAGGATTTCACATAAGTGGCATTATATCAAAACAAAAATAATATTCTTTTTATCATATAACATACATGTAATTGCATTGAAATTAATGAAAACAAATTTGTTTTGATGTTTTGTTTGTCACTTTTTCGTATGAAATCTATAGATAAAAATGATGTCACAATGATGTTATAAGATCTTTTAAATATGTAATGGTTATATTACATTGTACATGTAAAGAAGTGATATCAGTATAATAAATTTTACAGGAAATATGTAATGTAAAAAATAGTAATGAACATTGTTCCCCTCAAGTCCAAAATATTTATACAATTTTTGAAAAAAGTGTTTGGAATCAAGTTCTTAGATTTTTCTTTATCTGTCTTTCTCATCCCCAGTGTTCTTTGAAATGGTTTGAAATTATCAACAACCCTATGTACCATTGACTGGTATACAGAAATATTCTCGACAACCGACAAGTTATTCACAGCTTCCTTTCATGTTAAAGGGTGAGACTGACATTTTTTAAATCCAGTATTTACCTTTTCATTAAACAAGTGATGAATCAAGTCAAAAAAGGAATTAAGAAGTTGTTTATTTTAGATAAGTTAAGAAATAAAAAGTTATGTAAAGATATATCTTATGATATGCAGGAAAAGATAACATTTAAAACTTGTTATATTTTTCAGAGATGTTGTTATCACGGGAAAATGAAGAAAGGTCAACTAGTGCAGACATCAAACAAGCATAGTCCAGTAACAGTAATGAAATTGATTGTGAGAATGAAGAAGATAGCCATATTTGGACCAAAGCAAAGGATGAATCACAACTGGATGATAGTTGTGCATGTATTAGTGAACCGGTACTTGAATTTCACATTTCCATTACAGTTGTTGTTTTTTATGCCCACAGGCATATATTAATTGAACCGTCTGTCTGTCTGACCATCTGTCTGACCAAGGTTAACCTAAAACGGCAAGTTGGATTTTTACTTAAGTTCTACCTGTACAAATGGCTTTATAATTTATACACTTACTAATAAACACAAAATACATGATTTCGGCAAGTTACATAACTATGGCATCCATTTGTTCCAAATTATTCTTCAGTGCTTTTTTTTTTCATTTTACGCTCAAACCAGTCCTGCTGAATTGTTTAAATTGATTTGTCCAGATTCCAGGTTTGGAGCATACCTTTTTTTATCCGTTTATAAAAGTACCTTATCTACATTTACAGAATAATAAAAAAAATTACCCTCTTTTTTTATTTTTCATTGTTTTACATCAGATGTAGGTGATTGTTAGTTAGTGAATTGAAAAATGTCTGTTTAATCAAAGTTATATGTTTCATGAGACTTTAACTTTTAACATTGGTGCTGTTAACTGATTAAGGTCATATTGCAACATTACAGGTTCAAGTGGTGAAGAAAAGCTCTGGGCTCTGTCTAAACAGGTTTAAGTGATTAAGTATATCTCAGGAAACTCTCAAGAGCAAGTTAAAGTGTGTAGGAATGCTCAAATAGTCCTAATAGACAATGCAGGTTTAAGTGATGAAAAAAGCTGTGGGCCCATCAAAGCAGGTGTAAAATTGATAAAAGCCCCTCCAAGCAAGTTTTTGTGCTGTAGGAAAACTCAGAGGCTCTAAAAGCAGGTTCAAGTAGTAAAGAAGACTATTATGGGCCTCTCAAAGTTTTTGTCAAGTGGTGTTGTAAAGCTCAGGGTTTCTCAAAGCAGGTTTGAGTGGTGTAGAAGGTCAGGGAGGCTCTCAAAGCAGGTTCAGGTGGTATAGTAAGGTTCTGGGGCTCTCAAAGAAGGTTCAATGGTGTAATAAAGTTTAGGGGCTCTCGATACAAGTCAGAGAGCTATGATAAGGTTTAAGGAGCTCTCAAAGCAGGTTAAAGTGTTGTACAAAAGTACAAGGGCCTCTTAAATTGGTTTTAAGTTGTGTATTAATGTTCAGAGGGCTCTCAAAGCAGGTCCAAGGGGCATAGAACCGTTAAGGGGCTTTCAATGCAGGTTCAAGTGGTGTAATAAGGTTCAGGGGCTCTCAAAGCAGGTTCATGTAGTGTTGAAGACTATTGTGGACCTCTCTAAACATGTTAAAGTGGTGTAGGAAAGCCCAGGGTCTCTCAAAGCAGTTTCAAGTGGGGTAGGAGCGTTCAGGGGGTCTCAAAACATGTCAAGAATGGTAGTGTTAAGTTCAAGGAGCTCTCAAAGCAGATTCCAGCGGTTTAGGAAAGTTCAAGGGACTCTCTCTCAAAAGAGGTTCAACTAGTATTGGAAGGTTCAGGGAACTCTCAAGCAGGGGGCTTAAAAAGCAGGTTCAATTGGAGTTGTAAGGTCAGGGAACTTTTAAGACAGGTTCAAGTGGTGAAGGAAGGCTTGGGGTCCTTAGAGCAGGTATAAATAGTATTAAATTCTTAGGTGTAGGAAGATGCTGGAAGGTTTTGAAGTAGTTTCAAGTGTTAAAGGTGCTCACCTGAGTAAAAGCTATACATAGCTTAGTTGGATTGTATGAAGACACCAATAACAAACTGGCTGTATCTATGCAGAATTGTCAAAAATTTTGTAAGTGAAAACATGTGTTACTTATAAACTTTTATTAATTTAGTTAAAATTGCTTGTTATTTACATTTTAGAATTTTATTTAATGTTTTACCCCTGCAGTGTTGTTTTTTTCTTACAATATTGCTTAGAATAATAAGAAATACTAAAGATAATAGATAGGCTGCTTTTGATGGGTTATTTGGAACTTAAAAAGAATAGATAATGATGTTCTTTATTAAAAGCCTTTGAATGAGAATACATATAAGAAACGTTTACAACAAATGCTTGTCTTGTAACAAGAAAATGCCATTCATTTAATCTTAAATCCTTAACTATTAATCATTACATTTTGACAGAGAAATGGTTCACCCAGTTCCCCCAAAGTTTATTTTATCAGTTCCTCCCAGAGAAACATGTCAAGATTAAAATTGAGATAACCAAAAAATTAATTGGAGTTGGCAAATTCATGCCAAAAATATTTAGCTTTTAACTTGAAATCTAGTAGTATCAATATCTTAAAGGGAGATAATTAGAGTTCTTGTTAATATAACCGGTTGGTAACACTACCTGATAAGCCAATCAAATTGCTGCCTTGAAGTCATCATAAAATTGTAATTGAAAATTAAATGGAAGACATCTGGTTGGAGAAGTGCTAAATAAATTTAGGTGGAATAGAGCTCATTAAAAGAATGGCCTGGTTTGTTCCACATATTAAATGATGTATTTTCATACCTCTTTTATCAATATCTATCTTTTGTTATCTTTTAAAGTATTTAAAACTAGCACCTAAGGGAATGGAAGGCAAAGCTGTCTTTAAAATAGGATAACAAATAAGAAATTCAACAATGCCACAACTATTGTTATAGAATATGTCAAAAAAACAACAAACAAAAAAATCCTTTTGAAAAAATGAAAGTCACTCTAAAGACAAGTGGTCTAAATAAAGAGGTCTGTAAATCAACATTTCTAAATTCAAATTGGATATGAAATATAGTCGCTTAATGCAGTTGAATTGTATTCTCTGAGAGCAATAGAAACTTTAACATTATCAACTCATATGAAGTGTGACATGATAATATCATGTTTTTAACTGTGACATGATTAAATTGTATTGTGGCCTGTGGAGAATGATGGACGTAAGTGTGACATGATGATATGATTTTAAGTGTGACCTTAATTAGTTGGTTTTAACTGTGACATGATTACATGGTAGTATGTGTGACACAATCATATGACTCTTGAGTGTGTCAGGTTCATTTGAGTAATGTGTGACATAGTCTTTTTGTTAGTGTGGTTTAGTAATTTGTTCTAAATGTGACATTTTCTTTAGATTATTAGTGTGACAGAGCCAGTGAAAAAAATTTAGCAGTGTATGTTGAGTGTAAAAATATTAACTAAATTTGTAAAGTTGGAGACTTTGTTTCCATTTTCAGCTCAACTATTATATTTATAGGAGAGCAATTCTACTCACCCATGTGTAATTGTCCTTGTCTAACTTTTGGTTAAGTTTTTTGTACCACTCAAGTTACTTCCTATACCCATTGAGGTATTGCTTTGAAACTTTTTATAATTGTTAGTGACCATCATCCCCATTTCCAGACAAGAGGACATTACTCTTTCATAGATTTTGCCAAAATTATGCCCCTTTTTTTACTTGGAATTTTGATACCACCCAACTTATTTCCTCTACCCTTTTGGTATTGCTTTGAAACTTTAAATACATGCACTTGTGAGTGACTATCATCCCCACTTCCTGGCAAGAGGACATAACTCTTTCAGAGATTTTGCCAAAATTATGCTCCTTTTTCACCTTAGAATTTTGGTTAAATTTTTCATACCACCAAGTTTATTTCCTTTACCCTTCAAGGGATTGCTTTGAAACTTTAAATAATTGTTAGTGACCATCATTCCTACTTCCAGGCAAGAACTTACCACAGTTGAGCATGCTGTCTTATGGACAGCCGTTGTTAATATGACATGCTTGACCCTAAAAATATACCAAAATATAGCACTTGAGAAATGTGAGATGAAAAAAAAATGAGATATGGAGTTTTGTAATGTGACATGAACATCCATGCAAAATTACTTAAGTAATGTTACATTAGCATTAAGACTATGTCTGAAACTGAGGAAAAACAACCATAGCTTTACTTAATTTTAATTACAGTCCCTAGATACAAGTCAAGTTTTGTCTGGCAATTTCAGCTGGGAATCGAATGCCCTTTCCAGCTTTCATTTAAAATAAATTTTGATAAATTTGTTTAATTTTGTAAAAAAAACCTGGCAAGTTCTTTCTTATGTCTACTATATTTCTACAGTTTTACCTACTGCTATGAAGTAATGGTTTTGTCTACAGCTTGATATGTTGTTACTATATTTGGAATACTCTCTAAATTGCATTATTTGTTGAAATGCTGTTAGATTGACCTTTTATTGTCATTATTCCATTCATTTTTAGGAAGAGCGTTCACTTTAATGTTGTTTTTTGAAGAGGATTGGACTCTTTATGCCAATTGGTACGAAAATCCAGATTGAATGTATAAAGATTACGTATTAACATGGTATCCGCTGTTCGAGTGGTTAAGGTCGTTGACTTTAAAACCACTAGCCCTTCACTGCTGTGGGTTTTAAATCCCGACAGGGACTTGGATTCTTTCATGTGAGGAAGCTATCCAGCTAGCTTACAGAACATCGGTGGTTCTACTTAGGTGCCCCTTCGTGCTAAAATAATGCATGGAAAAGCACCTGACGTCTTCCTCCACCAGTAAAGCTGGAAAGTTGCTATAAGATGTATACTGTGTCGGTGTGGCATAAAACCCAAAATCATATTACTGACAGCAATGCCACTTGCTCCTTTACACATGTGGGTTTGAATCTCATCTAGTGAAGATTCTTTTCTTTGGAGGAAACTACCCAGCTAGCTTATGCTGTTCTATTTTTGTGCCTTTTCATGGCTGTAGGGCAAGCACACCAAGCAAGAGGGTCTCTATATAATCATCATGGCAATGTCTGTATGTCCAGTACTGAAATAAGAAAACTTTTTAATAAAACTTGTGAATAGATGATGGTGCATATCTTTCTATGTTATTCATCATGCTTCTGTTAGTTATTTGTTTTTATTTGTTTGGGTCGTCAGACCAAACAAATAATGGTAGCGAAATTTCAAAAGTAGTCCATTTTTTGAAGCGGTTACTTCCCTTTATATGTACACTAACTCCGAAAAATTCAGGGGAGATCACTGCGTAAAGATGGTCAAAGACAGGCACATTAAGTTTCAAGCAAAATAATTCCCGAATGGTCGAAAATTTCTAATATT